TGAAGACTCCTAGATCCTCACCAAGGACTATAGTGTGAGCTCCAAGGACTACATCCCAACCGCCAAGGAGACCACGGGGAATAGGAGTGCCTTCGGAGGCCGAGAACTCTGAGGTCACCCACCTCCATTTGGATCTCCCACATTGGATGGAAGAAGCCCATACCCCGCTTTGTAGGATCCAAGGTCATCGGAACGACAACCAGGAGCACTGAGCGGTCCGCAGAAACAAAGAGTAAACTTCCTTCGGGACTAGGGAGAGGAGCTTTCTCTGGTTCTTGCCTGGTGCCAACTTTGGGTCCCCACTCTCTCTCGTAATGACCATCAGGATCACTCCAGAAACCCCTCAAAACAAATACAGGTAACAAATAAACAAATAAACAAACAAAAAAAACCTAGAATAGATGGAGAACAGCAAGGAAAGCTTAGAAACAGGAAACGGGCAGTGGGGATGCACTTATAACTCACTGGGTAGGACACGAAGATTAGTTACTCCTCACTAGGGTATTGAAGATTTCTCTGCACACCCCTCCTAAAACTGTTCACCGAAACTGTTGACATATGTCTTGCTACAGTTATAGAGTTAGACTACCCGAAAAACAGCCAGGTTCTGCAAAATCATGCTTCAACGCTATGAACTGCTAAATATTAAAATTAAAATAGACATGAGACAGCTGAATAGTAATCTATAGCCATTTTAAGGTGTATAGAACCCAGCTGTATATAAACTAATAATTGTAATGTCAATGTAGAAGTCATAGGATGTGGTTCAGAACTTGCACTCTTCTCTCTCTCTCTCTCTTTCTCTCTCTCTCTCTCTCTTTTAACATGCTGGTTACACAATACCATGTCAACTGATTCCATTATGTTATAAATTGTTACTGATGTAATGTTGGGGCTTTTAATTGATTGGGCTGATACTCGGTTGGCTCTACCTTCAGACCAGAGACGGTCTTCCCATGAAACTGTTGAACTTATCTGGACAATAAGATGCTGGACTTTATGCTTTGTAGATGCTTGTAAGGAAATAACCTCAACTGAATTTGACCTGTGGTAATGCAACAAGATGGAAGAATCCACCATGGGAGGGAGCGGGTTTTGGGGAAGGGAGGGGGGAATCCCAGTGCCTGTAAAACTCTGTCACATAATGCAATGTAATCAATAAAAAAATAAATTAATTAATAAAAAAAAGAATCCTGCCATCCCACGGTAAGATACACTTTCAGATGAAAAGTGATGCAATATAATAATTGACTTATGGAGCTATCTGTAAGGAAATGAAACTACTAAGAAGGTTACATCATATGTGTAGGCATGTTCAAGGAATCCTGCAGACATTCCTTGAAAAGATTAATTTGAAAGAGTAAAGGAGTGTGTGAACTTTTCCATCTGCTGGTGGAATCCCCAAATGGCTATAACATCCAGGTTTGAGCTGGGCCACTGCCAGGGGCCAGGAACCCTATCCCACCCAGTCTTACGCCTGGGTAGCAAGGGCCTACGCACTTGGGCCATCTTCTGCCTTCCACGTTGGCATTAGTGGGAAGCTGCCGTGGAAGCATAGAAGTCAAGACTTGAACCAGTTCTCTGGGATGCCAGCATCGAGGGTGTTGGCTTAATGCGCTAAGCCACAATGCCTGCCAGTCGCTGACATTGTTAATATCATCCCCTCAACAGTTCTAAGTCAAGCAGGTGCTATAATCTCCATCTTGGCAAAGAGGGAGCTGAAAATCAGTGCAGTTGAGGCCAGCAGTAACACAGTCACCCTGCTTGTGGAGAGGACAGAGCTGGGATGGCATTGAGAAAGTCTCCCCGGAGAGCATGCAGGAGCTGAGAGCCGGCGGATGAGTAGGTGTCTGTCACAGGCACAGCTTTGCCGGCAAGGAACAAGCTGTGCATCAGCACGGAGGCGTGAGAAAGCCGGGCCTGTTTAGGAGCCACAAATACCTCAGAGTTGCTGCAGCATCCTGTCCTGGCTAAGGGCACGCCAGCAAGGGGCTGGATCTGTGCTTGGGACAAGTGGGCAGATGCCTGGTCGTGCCAAATCCTGCCACGGTTAGGGTGTTCTTTCTTGATGGGAGGAAACCGCAGACATTTTGGGAAAGGGTGTTTTAGGTCGGGTAACTGTAGTAGGTATCAGATACTGGGTAGCCTATCAGGATCTCATCATTTTGGAGGCTAGGAAACTGAACATCACGGTGTGGACAGATTTGCAGTGTGGTGAGGGTCTGTTTTCTCCATAGACAGACATCTTGTTTCTGTGTCCTTCCGTAGTGAAAACAAAAACTCCTCAGCTCCCTCCAGGGTCATGAATCCCATGCTTGGGAAGGATGTCCTCATGACTTCCTCAGCTCCCAAATCCAACTCCTATGACAACTGAACTGGGGATTAGAAATTCAACATATGGCGGCCCGGCGATGTGGTCTAGTGGCTGAAGTCCTCGCCTTGAATGAGTCAGGATCCCATATGGGTGCTGGTTCTAATCCCAGTGGCCCCATTTCCTATCTAGCTCCCTGCCTGTGGCCTGGGAAAGCAGTTGAGGACGGCCCAAAACCTTGGGACCCTGCACCAACGTGGGAAACCTGGAAGAGGCTCCAGGCTCCTGGCTTTGGATTGGCTCAGCTGCAGCAAGTTACAGCAGCTTGGGGAGTGAATCATTGGACAGAAGATCTTCTTTGTCTCTCCTCCTCTCTATATACCTGACTTGGAAATAAATACATAAATAAATCTTAAAAAAAACAGTTCAACATATGAATTTCAGGGTGGAATATAAGCATTCATTCCATGTTGGTACATCACTGTCACGTAACCCTTATAAGAAGTCACTTTGGTCCCAGTGAGAGATACGGAATATATATATATTTTTTTAAGTTTTATTTTAGGTTCGGTGCTACAGTGTGGTGGACAAAGCTGCTGCCTGCAGTGTTGACATCCCATTTGGGTGCTGGTTTGAGTGCTAGTTGTTCCACTTCCAATCTGTCTCCCTGCTAGTGACCTGGGAAAGCATAGAGGATGCCCACGGTCCTTTGGACCCTGCACCCGCGCTGGAGATTTGGAAGAGGTTCCTGGCTTCGAACCGGTTAGCTTTGGCTATTGTGGCCATCAGCAGAGTGAGCCAATGGATGGAAGATCTCTCTCTGTCTCCCCCTCTATCTATACTATAACTCTGTCTTTCAAATGAATGACTAGATCTTCAAGAATAGTTATTCTACTTGCAATACAGAGTGAAAGAGAGGGAAGAACACACAAATACAGACAAATCATGATCTTCCATTTGCTGATTTACTCCAAGTGGCCTCAATGGTCAGGAACGAGCCAGGCAAAGGAAGGAGCTGAGAATTCCACCTGATTCTCCTACATGTGTAGCAGGGGGCCCAAGCACATGATGAATCTTCTGCTGGATTCGGAGAAATACTAGCAGGAAGCCAGCTTGGAAGTAGAGCAACCAGGACCCTGACCAATGCTCATGAGATGCTTGTGGCACTGCACCACAATGGCAGCCCTGGGACATGCAAGCAGAGGGCAATGAAGAAAAGTAGTAGTACTTAATCCTCTTGTTTAACAGCTGCTTATTAAGAACATACAGGTTGAGCACTCATAATTCAATATCCAGATTGATTTGGGCTGTAAATGTTACAGATTTGACACCTAGATTTGTTATTTTTTGTATTCCTGAATACATGCATACATACACAGTGAAGTATGTTTGGGATGGGACCTAAGTCTAAACACGAGGTTCACTTCTGTCTCATGTATACCTCACACACAGACTGAAAGTGATTTTAGACAATATTTTTAGTGTGTCTGTTTCACTGTGACTCATCCCTTGAGCCAAGGTGCGACACTTTCCACTCGGGGTGGCAGGTTGTGGCCAAGAGTGAGCCAGCTGATAGAACCTGTTTATGTCTCTCCTTCTCTCTGTAAGTCTGTCTTTCTAGAAAAAAATAAATAAATCTTTTTTAAAAATGTGATTCTTTCACATTTCACGCAGTTTACTGATAAGAATGGCAGAGAGATAGATAAAACAAGACTGAGACCTCCTCCCAGTTAACATCAACACAGTCAACTGTCTTTAGGCATTTAACCTAGTATCTTTCCACCATTCCTGGCAGCACCAAGAGCAGAACCCTGCTTAACCATTAGTTGTACCTCAAATCCACCACCAAGTATGCACAAGTCACAGAAGGCTACCCAGGGCACTGGAGGCAAGGGGCTGGATCTGTTCCAGACCCAGCATGTCTTCCAGGAATCAGCCCGGAACAGGAGGGGCTCCAGGAGCCAGTTAAGCCACTGGCCTTGCAGGATTCCAGCTGACCAATGATATACCTGAACGGACATTTCTTATCTAATTAGGGCATAGACAGCCCCTTTGCCAGCCCACGTGTCTAGAGGAGTGTAAGAGTCCTTAATACATATTTCAACCGCTCCTTTTCGCCTCCATCTTCCTTCTACTCTGTGCGAAGGGGGCCCAGGAGCGGATTTTCCAATAAAGCTTCCGTTACAACTACGAACAGCTTGCTGATATTATTCCACCAGCGGGCAGTTGGCGGTCATCACCTGATAGTCACCACGTTCCCACAGGCGATCTCTCCACTTGGTCTCATTTGCCATTGATCTCCTAACACATATACTCCACTCCAAACTAGCCAGGCTCTTGGTCCGCTGTCTCTTGATGGCTTCACATGTTACTGCAGGCCACACAATTTCCTTTGGCACTAACTATGAACCCCTCTCCGCCCCATCCCAGACCCAAGTCTAGAGACTGGACCCGAGACACATTTTGCCACACATTAACTTCTCCCCATTGCTGAGCACCAAAAGCCCAAAGAACAAGCCCCTGACACCTTTCTAATCTGTCTTCCAACCCAGAGGTCTGGCTTGTTAGCTTCACCATTTCTAGTTGTGTATAGCCAGTTCACCCAGGCTATCAGTTGCCGGTATCGTTGGAGCGCTCCACATGGTCCCCTGCAGCCCCTGCTCCCTCCCCTCCTTCAGTCTGACCTTACCTTTCTTCCCGTGTTGGAGGGCTCAGGAATCTGCTTGCATCCTCCTCGTGGCTGCTCTGCAGGCTACTCTGCTGGCTGCTGAGGAAAGACAGAGGATGGGAGCCATTAACGTTCACTCATTTCTCAACCCAGAGGGGGAAGGATATTTAGACTCCAATTAAGACAATGCAATGGGATTACAACATTTTAAAGACGCAAGTTCCCCCACACACATTTGGTGTGGACAGAGGGCCAAAGCCAACGGATCAGACACAAGGTACAAACCTGGCGAGAACTCCTTTCATCATGCTTAGGATCTGTCTGCTGTTAGCCAGAATGGAAGACCCGTCTGGTGACTCTGCCCCTTCCTGGCTAAATACACTCCCACCTGCCTCTGTAAGCAGAGCCTCCAGCCATCTCCACACCCACCCCCCACCCGTCCCACCCGTCCCAGCCCATTCTGTTAGAACAAAAATCCCATTTTCCCTCACTCTCCTGGGGGAGGGTCTCTAGGAAGTGGTAAAGACTTGGAGAAGGAAGGGTCTGGAAGGGTATGGCAGGTGGGGAATTCCAACACATCCAAAGGCTTTTTGCAGAGTCATAGATTCCATCTGATGTGGGATACAAATTTCAGTAGCCACAAGCGAGTTTTTAAAACTCAATTACACCCATTGTCTACATGTTATTTTCAGTCATGTCCACAAGGTGAGAGCTGGGTGAAGAAGGCAGAGTTGAGTGGCTTAGTGCAGTAGTGGCACCACTGAGCCTACGATGTTCACTACCTGGCCCTTGGCAGAAAATGCTAGTCAACTTCTGCTCTAAACAGGCCTTAATAATACATTTCCAGGGCTGGCATAACAAGCTAATCCTCCGCCTGTGGCACCAGCATCCCATATGGGTTCCAGTTTGTGTTCTGGCTGCTCTGCTTCCCAACTCTGCCGCCATACATGGTGGCAGAGACTCAGCCACCTGAGGCATCACCCTTAACAGCAAGTTGGAGTGGAAAACGGAGTCAGGACCCTGAGCCACAGGGACTGGGAGTTGTGAAACAGGTTTAGCCCCTGCCTGAAAGCATCCCTATGGGCGCAGTTTCAAGATTCGCAGCTCCACTTCTTATCCAACTCCCTGCTAATGTGCCCAAGAAAGAGGAAGTCGGCTCAAGTGATTCAGTCCCTGCACCCCTGTGGGAGAACTTGAGGAAGCTTCTGGCTCCTGGCTTTGGCTTGGCCTAGCCCTGCCTAGTGAGGCCATTTCAGGAGTCAACCAACAGACAGAAGATCTCTCTGTCTCTCAGTGTGTAACTCTGCCTGCCAAATACACCTTTAAAAAAAATAAAGAGGGAGGGAGGGAGGGAAGGAAGGAAGGAAGGAAGGAAGGAAGGAAGGAAGGAAGGAAGGAAGGAAGGAAGGAAAGAAGGAAGGAAGGAAAGAAGGAAGGAAGGAAAGAAGGAAGGAAGAAAAAAGAGAAGAGAAGAGAAAAAAAAAGGCAAAAAAGGAGTTTCTATTGTCACAAATTTCACTGTAACCAAGGCAACAATATAAATAGAACTGTGTCTTTGCTCTGGCGTATTTATCTCTATAGACTCTAGACACTTTCCTGGACCAGACTAGGATACACAACTCGAAACGCTGAGTGGCCCAGTACAGCAGGTGCTTGCTCCTGGGTGTGTACACTCTCAATCCAAAGAACATGTGGCTTTCTGCAGTTACACTCCTAACCATGCCTTTGACATTTTGTCCTACCAGCAGCAAGTAAATGACTTTAGAAGCAGACATCCAGTCTTCACACACACACACCAAGGAAGCCACACATATACCCGTTAGAAACAGGAACAACACCCCCTCCCACACACACACACACAGCTCCCACCGCCTGGCAGAACTGTGTACACCCAATCCCTTACACTCTGCTTGACACAAAGCACTGTGTTACAGCTCATCCTCACTTCCATTTCACCAGCTCTGGTGCACTGAAAACTTTTCACCGCTATATTTTGCTATAATGTCATCAGCCATGGGATTCTATCATGGGACTTAGTATCAAGTACCACCAAACCAGGATGAGTGCTGTTCCACAGTGGATATCCCACAGACAGGTGGAATTCGAACTCCAAGCAGATGCATCTAGAGAAGAGAACTCCAAGCAGATGCTCTAAGCCATGGAGAGCACACCTGAGCAAAGGAAGCAGACAAGATGGTAGGACATCCAGAGCCCAGACTTTCTTTTTTTTATAATTTTTTTATATATGTATAACGATTACATGGTGGATCAGGGTGGGAAGGATAGAGGTTTGGGGAAAATTGGGTGTACTCATTGTTTCCAAATTTGCTTTTCTTCTTGTTTCTAGAGGAAGAGGAGAGACAGAAGGAAACCGCTAATGACTTTCCACACATCCCAGTACTCAGGGATGAGGAACTACCACCTCATATCAACCCAGAGTTTCAATGTGTGAATACTCTGAGGGTTCTGTCCCAGTGGTTTGGATAGTTCTGAAATGCTGCTGTTTTCATCGATCCAAGGATGATGTCACCCTCCCAATGTCCTTTGGCTCCATTCACCAGGATTTCTTGAGGTGACTGTTTGTTTGGGGTAGTTGTCCAGTTAGTTCTGTTCTTTTGCTGCCCCGAATGAGATGCCACATTCTTCTTTTACAATAGGGCCTGTGTCTATCGCTCCACCTTTTTCATTGAGTAGGACATGTTCCTGCAGGCGAGTCCAAGGACCCAGACCAGTCATCCCTAGCATCGCTGGATCACGCGCCCCCAGGGATCAAGAACCTGCCACCCACCACACAGGCAGGCCCCAACACCTGGGCTAGGAGACATGAGTCAACCAGCCCAAAGTCCCAAGCAGCTTTACTGTCCCTTCAAGGAAGAGGTCAAACTTGACCTCATACACTGGTTCTTCCTATTCCCCTTGCCCTCCTCCTGATAATCAGAAAATTAAGCCACCAGGAGCAGGCATGTAGCCTAGAGGTGAAAATCCCCATACTCCCCATGAAAGTGTTGGGTTCAATACCCAGTTCCTGCTCCTAACTCCAACTTTCTGCCAATGCAGGAAGATGGGATTGGCGGCTCACGTGGTGGGAATCCTGTCACCCACGTAAGACATCTGTATTGCATCTGCTTCTGGATTTGGGCCTGCCCTGGCCCTGGTCACAGCAGACATTTGGAATGTGAGGCTTGGGATGGGAGTTTTATCTTTCTGTTCTTCTCTAGATCTCTGCCTTTCAAGTAAGTAAGCAGTTTTTAAAAAGTAAGCTACTAGGGGAGATCCCTAGAACTGCCATAGTACAGGAGCCTCAAATATCCTGACTAGGTATTAGCAAATCATCCACTAGATGGCAATATTGACTTCCAAACAAGAAACACAAGCAGGCTAACCAATCAAGTAAACAGAATTAAAGCCAATTTTCATCCCTCTTTAGTCTTCACCATGGCTTAGAAAGCAGTTCTGATAAAGGAAACTACAGCAACATTACGTTACCTTCATATGGTCTTTTTTTCCCCCCCAAACCATGAAGAAACACCAATCAGCATGCATTTGACAAGTACTTGCATAATGCTCTCTGTGCACATACTCCAGGAAGAGGCATCTGCAATAGTGAAGGAGTTACAGCCTGGGTATGTGCTGCTTGGGATTATATGTAGGCTCCTCCACATCCCATCTATGTGACCTGGAGCAGGTTAGCTCCTGGGACTGTCCTTACTGAAGAAATGGAGACAGATGGTAACAATCACTCTTGGGCCCAGCTCGTTAGCCTAGTAGCTAACTTCTTCACCTTGCACACGCCAAGATCCCCTATGGGTGCCAGTTTTAATCCCAGCAGCACTGCTTCCTATCCAGCTCCCTGCTTGTGGCCTGGGAAAGCAGTCAAACACAGCCCAAAACCTTGGGACCCTGCACTTGCGTGGGAGACTTGGAGGAAGTTCCTGGCTCCTGGTTTCAGATCAGCACAGTTCTGGCCATTGCAGCTCCCTGGAGAGTGAACCAGTGGATTTAAGATCTTTCTCCCTGTATCTCCTCTCTGTATATCTGCCTTCCTAATAAAAATACATAAATCTTTTTTTTTTTTCAAAGAAAAAGATTCAGCTCTAGTACTTAAAACTGAGATTCAAAAGAAGCAAAATGAGAAGGGAAGGCACCACTTTTCCCGCACCAGGCACTGTTACACTGGATGGAGCTGACTGTCGCTGGGTCTCTCCAGCAAAGAGCTCCTATTCTGGTGGGATCCGGAGCCAGAAGCCCCATCAAGGTGTCCCATGCAGCTGTATGGTCCTAAGGCTTGAATCATCCTATGCCGCTTTCCCAGGTTGCAAGCAGAAAACTGGATGATAAGTGGAGCAGCCAGGACATGAACTGGTGCCCATATGGGATGCCAGCACTTGCAAACAGAGGATTAGCCAATTGAACCATTGCTCTAGCCCCTGTAGCAGAACTGGCTCTTTGCCATGTTACACTCAGGGGTCACAGCCTCTAAGCCTAGAAGAGGTTTTGAGAGATGCAGGTGCCCCCAAATAATCACAGGTTTGTGTAAGACAGAATTTAATCATTTCTAGAGCTTGATCGAAATGGCACATTTACCCACACTGAGGCCACACAAATTCTCATACAGCGTCTCTTTGGCTTTGAGCAATGTAGTGTAACAGGACCAATTATCTCATGAGAATTGGAAACTTCAAAGGGCTCTTGGTAGCAGTAGATGCCTTCGATCAACAAAAATGAGGAGATAAAATTCTTTTAGGTGGTGGATTTAGTAAAGATAGCATGAAGACCTCCGTGGGTTTGTTTCTGATGGCCACGCATCCTTGGCAATAATTAATTTTCTCCTAGTCCGTTTCCTTGAAAAGTAAGAATTCAGTGATAACTCAGCTTCATCTGCAACTACAGATCTATGTTGAGAAGGAAGTTGTGAGTAACCCACTCACAATATCCAAGTTCTAGTCATTTTCATATTTAAAAACGAGATTTATTTATTTATTTACTTACTTACTTGAAAGGCAGAGTAAGGGGTTGACACCATGGCATAGTGCTCTAAGCTTCAACCTGCTGTGTCAGCATCCCATATGGGCACTGGTTCATGTTCCAGTTGCTCCATT